TCACATAAATGAAGACCAAAGAAGTCCAGACGGGGCATTGGGCCCGTATTCGAAGAATCTGATTGACTGATAAGCCAGAAAATGACCAGAAGGAGACAAGAGCTCAACATCGAGAAGCAATTCTAGTCCTCCTTTACATCAAAAGATTGTCGGAGAGAATAGTTTAGGTTAGTTCCAAAGTGATTGGATCAAGGGTTAATTGTGGCTCCGGAGAAGACAAGCAGAATTCGATTCGAGTACAATATCAGAACCTATATACCTATATACAATAAGTAGCACCATCGCGATATCCGAACCATTAAAAGTAGACAACAACTTCAAATATTGCTTCTACGAAATACCAAGTGGATGTGGCAGGTTTAAAATTAGAGTAGTAGAGATATAGTTAAAAGTTCAGGCTAGCAAAAAATACCTGGACTCGACCAAACAACATGACCTTGTGTACCGAAGCTGAGATTCTCTGTAGGACAAAAAGAGCATTGAGAAGAGTGGAACAGAAAATTCAAAGAGGCCCATAGTTGAACAACAAGGTATATTTTCAGTCTTTCGTAGTATAGAGATCTGAAATGGGTGTACATGTAATTAGGCGAACAAATGGTCTTCAGTACATTGAGTCGGTAAACTATGCGACTCAAAAAGAGGAATGGGAAAGTGAGCCTCATTGGTTTTTGAGCAAGTAGTCTCGAATTTGTAAGGATAAGTTTTGTCTTTAGACAAAAACTTCTCAATCATCTTCAAACAATTGTAGTTTGGCTATCTGACAAAAAAAACTTTCGCCAAACAAGCTCCCAGGTTGAATGACGAAATTTTACTGAAACAGAAAATCAGAAATGCCCTCTGTCCTGTGAGAAACTATGATCTGTCACCTTTACACTCAAAGATAAAAAATCTCACGTTTTCGAGATTCGTTGGTATTCTGACAAAGAAGGCCTTTCCTGATTATTTTCAGGATCATCAGCTATTTGACAGCTGATGACTCAAGAAAATAAACAGTTTCGGCCCCGAAAAAGACATGTACCATGAACATAACTGAATGAGTGGTGTAAACGTTTTTTTTGCATTGCAGAAACAGATACAACAGATACACTTTGTTGGAAACAATTCTTTGGGGGCAAATGGGGAAAATTCCACTATAGGATACATACAATATACATTGGATAAGTGTTTCAAATTCACTTTTACTGCTACTACTGTCAGAAAATCTTCAATTTTGATATACACACCCTGTACATATATTTGAACAGAACGGAAGATATTCTTTATCTGTAGATATTTGTTTGGATTCATTGGTCAAGTTAACATTGAATTTCTCGTTTACAAACGCGATGAATATGTAAGAAACTATTTTATGAGAAACAGTTATAATAAAATGTGTTGTTACGACTTATTCAAGAAGCTAGATTTGAAACAAGTATAAATATTCCAAGATACTGTCATTATAACTTGTTTGTTTGAGTGATGTAAATAAAAGTATTCATTGTTTTGACCAAGTTCACGAAAGACATGAATTTTTGTCTGGCAAATTATCATAAAAAAACTAACTCATTCAGAAAAATTCATGGTTATTTGTTGTTGAAACAGAAATGCATTTAATTTACATAATCACATCAATAACTAAACGTAGATAGAAAATAGGAGCGGCATTCTTTATTTTCTTTATTTGTTTAAATATCTTGATGAATATTAATAACAATACATGGTAAACATTTTTCCTGAATAGATAAATAAACGTCTATTTTCTGATGGATACACAGACTGACTGGTCTCAAAGCCTTCACCGAATCTGTCCGATTTCACCGGGTTTTCGAAAGAAGGTGTTTTTGATTTGTATCCCAGAGCCAAATTTTCCTTGAGATTTACACACAATATTTCGAGTAGAAGTTCCTGTCGTCTTTTGCAGAAATACTAGGAATTCCATTTGGTTCTGGCAATTTATAAATTTGGAATGTATATATGGCCCATTTGATTTTCTCCAAATCTACCATTGTCTTTGCCACCAGTCAATCCTACCTGGACCTCCTTCCACTTCTGAATTTGTGTTATATTTATAATTTTTGGAACGAGGAAGTGCACCTGGAGAAGCCCTGTAATATCTCCTACTGTTTTTGTGTACCCCCTGGTATTTGTTTTTAGGTTTCGAAAATAGATTGGGTTATTGGCACCGATGGTCATTTTTAGAGTATCTTGTAGAGTCTGCCACAAACTCGAGTCTGTTCGACCTTTAAAAAAGATCGAACGTCCTAGTATTCATCATTGATTTATAACGTTACTAGTACTATGTTGCTGTATCGCAGCTGTTCCAATGTTTTGACAGAATCAGAATCAACGAACTTAGGCGTGCGCAGCGTTATAGAACAGTGCTTTCAAAAAATTGTCTACAGCGCCATCTAGTGGCGAGTTACAGAAAAATTGATAGCCTAAAAACCTCTATGAAAAATTACGTATAAATGTCTAGTTTCATCACGCTCGGTTGAGCGACGTAGAAGTTTATCACTTGCCAACCAACCAACCAACCAACAAACATCCATTTTTATATAGTAAATTTGTGAGGTACTAGTATAGCTGAAACATGTGGCATATAATGAATCCAAAACAAACACCGTTTACGAATTAGGCTACCTCATCACCTGAAGACGCCAACTTGGTTGACAAAACGCGCATCAAGAAGAGTGTTGCAGTTCTGGTGTTTGAATAAAGTGCTGGTTTTGGATATAACGTCATTTCTCTATATATTCATAATATTGGAAGCGATGCAAAAGTAAATCGATGACCTTTGAAACGAGGTATTACGTGTGACGGTTTGTAAACAGTTTAGTAAAAATCTTAGTATCCACTTGTAACTATCCACTAAGTCTACTTCCATTCAAGTATCAAGTATTGCTTCTCGCCCCTCCTAACTCTGTGAAAAGTTGAAAGAGTACCAACTAATGTACGGAGAAATATATGTCAAGTGTCATCACGATCGATTGAGCGATCGTGATGACACTTGAAGTTTATCACTCACCAACCAACCAACCAACCAACCAACAAACATCCATTTTTATATATGTACATATTAGATATGTTCAAAAAACACTTTATTGTGAAATTTTCATGGGAAAGTTTCACAAAAACACTTTCAACGAAAGTGTTAACCACTGAATCAATCTCAGTTAAGAGGTCCTTTCTAGAAATGTCCTACATTCTTTAAAACAACAATTGTATGAACAAAAGAAAAGACATTAATCACCTAAGTGATTACTTATTGACTCTAAACAAGAACTTTTACAATAATAGGTAATATCAATTTGAACAATTCTAGTCTTTTTCAACTAAAATTACTTTTTTAATCCGTTTCTGTCAGTCTTCTTCGGTAATATTAGATACTTCTTCTTTAACTAGCACTATCACTTTCTAATGAAATTTTGGAAAATTATTTTTACGCCTGATGCTTTGTTTCCATTTTCCCCAAATCCACTCGATGCAATTGAAAACACAAAAATAGGGGGGAAGTCTCAGTATGGTGTGTCCATACTTTTCAGCAATACTCTCAAGGGCACACACTTTTTCAAATGTTTTTGTCTGTAAAACTTCAAGTCGTTGGTTTTAGGTATAGTAATCTCCAAAATTCAAATTGTTATCTATTCAAAAACTTTGTTATTTCATCTTTTCTCGAATTTTTATTCGGTACTTTGATGAGCTGTCGCGTTGTCAAGAACTATTACTACACTATTCGCATCCAAATTTGGGATCAATGTCTTTTCAAACCATTCCTCAAAAATATTAGCTTCCATATTCTTATGATAGTCAACATTGCAGTCCTCAACTTTTTTCCACATAATTTCAAAGAATTCGGAACCCATCCTTTACTTCCTCCGCAATGAACAATGATTGGTTGCGATCCTTTTTTTGCAGGCATGTTAGGCGTACACATTCTCGAACCATCAGTCCACCCTTTCGTGACTGTTTCGTGAGTGTCATACCAAGTTTCGTCCAAGTAGAACATTTACCTATATTTATTTATTTGTTCTCAGTATTTGTTACGCAATTCCACTATTCTTCTGCTTTCCATAACTGGTTGACGTTTGTTTATTATTTTGAATCTAAATCCTAGTTTCTTTATCCAATTCTGAAGAGCTTTGTCACAGCAGCTTACGTTACGACCGGAGGTGTTCAATTTCTTCTTTATGATTTCAGTTGTAGGAATCTCATTGCTTTTGTAACTGTCGTATATTGTTTTTTTCAACGATTTTATTAGATGAACATCTAAAGGTTTTGGTAATCCCGTATCACATCGCGTCTTGCGTTCATAAGGTTTGTATTTGACTATTTTACGTACAGTTGAGAAAGGAATTTCGGTCAAATCTGATATTGCTTGTAATAGTTTGTTTTCGTCGAAACCAAACTTGAGATGGAGATTCTTATATACATTGAAACATACTCTCTGTGTTTCAATATTCAAATGCATCCGAATCTTATTCACTGATATCTCTTTTTCGCATTGTTCACCAGCGCTATTGGAATCACTACACAGGTCTGCGTTGTTATCATACTCGTTATTACTATTAGTACTTGTCCAAGGACGCACATTTTAAACAGATAACAAACATTTTAAGTGATTGTAACTGCACCAATATCGAATTTCAACACTCAAATCGCGATCAGTTCCTGAAGTGAACATTGACAACACGACTGCTATAACCATCCTCGCATTCTATTCGTCACCGTAACATGACTTCAAATTCAATTTTATGACTCTTCAGTCAATCATAAAACTCGGTTAGTAAAAATTATCCAATACGAACTGCCAATTCTTCAGTCCACGTGGACTAGTTGGCAGCGGCTTCATTTCTATGTATTGGTTTCTTTGGCCTTTGTCGATACATTCAACTACGCACAATACCGTTTACTTCGTCTATACTTATCGTGGTCCACCCATACCACGCGTGAACCCTTGCGATAGTTTTGATCGGTGCTAGGTTAATATCTAGCAGGTCTGGCCAACAGTATAAACACAGCCTCCGGAATCGGTTCCTTGCACTGCACCCATGCTGTTCAGAGCGTAAAGTGACACTCTTAATCAAATCACTTCCGACTAGCCGGCAGTCGCTTAAAAAAAATAGAATCAGTTGTCGGTTATAGCGCGATTTATGAACGTCCGAGCAAAGTTTTTCTTGCCGTTACAATAATTTTGAATTTTGTTGGATTTTTTGGCCGATCGAGGATGTGGGAAAGTTAGTTAAGACTACTAAGTTTTGTGTGAAGACGTTTTTGGTGTTTGCTGGAAATGGCGAAAGGGATTAAATCAGGTAGGCAGGTTTCTAATGTTTTTATGTCTGGAACATTTTTTCTGAAAATAGTTGAGGACATTCTCCGTAACAATGGAATAAGTTAATTGAGAAAAATATGCGGGGAAATGGTGAAACAGTAGTTATGTTTCAGGATAGAAAAATTTCACAGTAATCAAATTACAATTCAGTTATCCACGGATAGAAAACAAAAAGTTCTGCTACTTAGAATGAACATCAAGTTTACCTAAGAACTTGAACTTTCATTACACTAACAGATACGTTATTGACATATGAAAAAATTAAAAAAAGGATTTTGGTTTTCATTAATTCAAAATATATATAAGTTGAAAGAAGCAGTTTTGGATCTCAGAAAACAATGGCACTATTGTTTTAGCTATATTACTAGATTTTACAGATAACGCGCTTGATGTAACAACATTTTTTTGAAAACATTCGAATATTTTGGGTCTTGTAAGCAGAGTCAATGCGGAAAGTGTTCCTCATGGCTCTGTCGCAGGTCCCGTTGCACATTTTCCAATTGTACAAAACCATTTTTCACACAAATTCCCTCTATATATTTATGATATCAGTGCAAATTCTAGTGGAAACAAAATGTATCTTCAGAAAACTTTAAAAAAAATCAATAAACTAAACCAGTTGATCAGTTATATTAACATAATTGAAAAAAAATATAATTCAGATATTCACGATTGAAAAAAAATAATCAATGTCACATATTTTTTACATACTTTAAAACTCAATTTGGACTATTTTGGATAGTCAATATCACTTTTACAAAAATAGTTCTAGTTTCCCGGTACATATTATTTTTGTGAACGTGTAATGTCATAGGTTTCAGAGGCAAAGCAATCATACTTGTCAAAGATTAAACTGAAATGTGGAAAATTTAAAAATTTCTTAGTTTTATTGAAAAATGGTGTTTCTTATGGTTTTGTTGTTGATCCAGTTTGAAATTTTCGATTATAAAAAACAAAACTTCTGCAAGAGTATTCTTTGTATATAGTGGTGGTTTTGCAGCTGACCTCGACAAGAGGTTTTTTATATTGTTGAATTGGAATGTTTTTTTTTCACCTCGAGAATATCAGTGGTTGTTTTTGAAATATTCGCCAAAAACTAGAATTTTCGAAATCCGTTTTTTGACTCTAGACCTCCTTCATTTCGAATAATATAAAAAAGCAGAACTTTCAGTACTGCTTCATTTTAGTTATAATGTGATATAAACCAATTTGCATTGCAACGCTTTTTTCATTAGATTTTATCATCAACTTCATTTTTTAAATAGGGACTTCTAGTTTTTCTCATCGATTTTTGTAGCCACTCTGATAAAAAATTCAGCTAAGAAGAAAACTAGAGGTTTGCATTTAAAAAAATGAAGTTGGTGATGAAATCTAATGAACAAAACGTGGCATTGAAAATTTATTTATATCAGATGACAACCAATATGAAACAATATTGAAAGTTATTTTGGCTTTGGAGGCGATAGAATCAATAAAGAAAATTCGACAAGTTTTTGGCAAATATGTCAAAGACAACCACCGATACTTATGTTCAATTTAACCGACCTTGTAGGTTTACGATATGGCAATAATGGGATCAGTTAAAAAACAGTCTGTATAGTTCTCAATTACAATTTTTGATTTTTGCCAGATCGTGGAAGGTGAAAAAACCCAGAATAGGTCGATAAAAACATATTTTCCACACGTCTTCATCGTAAGTTTAGCAAACACTTTTAAAAAAAGCTAGTTATGCCTATTAATATCTGTACTGGAGCCAACTTCCTACTTTCCTTTGACATAATTGCATTTGATATTCATTTTCACAATAAGGGGTGTGTTTGGTGTAATAACCACATATTCTAATCGACCTCTCCGTTGCAAAACAATAATTGAGACATATATTCAATTCTGGATTTGTACATTCACGTAGACTAATAGTTTGTGTGGACATGAATCGGAATAAAATTGAACCTTTGGTATAGTAATGAATATTATTGGAGTTTTTTCTCGACACCAAACCGTTATTTTAACACCTCGACACGTGTTTCGATCACCAAGTGATCATCTACAAGAGGAAGATTAAACTAATCACTTGGTAATCGAAACGCGTGTCGAAGTGTTAAAATAACGGTTTTGTATTGAGATAAAACTCCTGATTGCTTTAATCTTCTTCTTGAAGATGAGTGATCAAAACACGTGTCGAAGTGTTAAAATACCTAACGGTTTGGTGAAAGCTCAATGAAAGCTTCCGAAAGTTTGAAGCTGCTGCAAAACGACACTGCCACTTTGTCAAAACGGCATTAACGCAGATCCAGTATTACCACAGTTCCAAGATGGATATTACAGTTCTGAGTCGTGCATAGAGGATATGTAGGTATATATTCCATGAGAAATGATAAAAACGCTAATGAATTTCCCTCTGACGGATGAAAAGCCGAAAGTTGTGATAGAGTTAACGTATCACAGAGGTAAACCAAAGTAACTTCTGGTTACCATCTCAACATCAACATGGATTTGTTATTAAGCGTTCTACTGTTACAAATGTAGTCATTGTTACTCAATTTATTTTCGAAGCATTAGATAATATTGGCCAAGTTGATGTTATATACACGGACTTCTTTGAAGCATTTGATAAAATTGATCATGGTATCTTGCTCAATAAACTGATGAGTGTCGGTTTTTCGAATACTGCCTGTCAGCTGATGCAATCCTATCTCACATGTAGAAAACAATTCGTGTCCTATAACGGTTATAAATTAGAAACTTTCATAATATTAAAGCCATGAAGCTGTTGTATTTCACCTACGTACGTTCGAAGATAGAATATGCAAGTATCGTCTGAAGTCCATTCTAGGAGATTCATAACCTAGCCATTGAAAGAGTTCAAAGAAAGTTTTGTAAATTTCCAATTTTCAGAATAGATGGTTCTTACCCTGAGAAAATGTATCAGTAATGATGTCATATATGAACGTTTGGAACTTTTTAGTTAAGAGCATCGCAGAAAATGTGCGTCGCTCATAGTTTTATTCAAGATAGTGAATGAGAGAGTTGACTGTCCTTAAATTCTTGAACAAATTAACTTCAATGTACCACGGCCAGCTTCACGATCTCAATCCATTTTTAGACGTCTCAGAGAAAGAATTAATATTATGCTCAATTCCCCAATATATGTTATGTGCACAAATTTCAATAGCATTTGTGCCCATGGTGATTTATTAGAATTGCTAACTTGTACTTGAAGTAGGTAGTTAGAATCAGTTTTTCTTTTTTGTTCATTTTATTTTTCGTTCATGGTTAAGTATTGCGAATAAAAATTTATATTGTTCTGTAAATGGGTAACTGTTGGACAATAAAGCTATTATTATCATTATCATTACCAAAATCGAAAAAGACGTCGATTCAGTTTCAATCGGGAAGATAAATGAAATACATTACCTATCATCACAAATATAATTACATAATTTGAGTCCTTATCACAACTGAAGTTCATAGAATCATGTATAAATCTTGACCAGTTTTTTATCTCTGGCAGAACTTCTGGCATAATCTTCCAGGATTGGCTCATTCCAAGGCGTTTATTCACCTTTCAAAGCTTGATACCAAACAGTTGTTGGACTACAGTAGGGATGAACTACGATGTCCAACAGGCCTTCTTACAAGTCACTGTCATTTGAATTATTATATGCAGAGACTCGGACTGTCGGAAGACAGTGTGTGTCGCCTTTGTTTGGGAAATGATGAAACAGCAGAGCACATATTTTGTGCCTGCCCCGCTGGGGACCTAATCGGGTTTTTAGAGTTTGGCAGAGCCGTAGTCTTACCATCTGACCTGAAAGACCACTCCCATGCAATCTAATCGGCTTCGTTGCGAAGCTGAGTTTATTTGGTCGAGTGTGAATAGGTGTGAGCCACAATAAACCCTTGCGGGTTTCGGTGGAGGATCGAAGAAACCCAGTCACTTTGGATCTTACCTAACCTAACCTATCTCTGGCCACATTATTCTACATTTTCATTGGCATTTCTTTGCTTATTCGTTGTAAAGTATTTGTTTGTCAAATTTTTTTTGGCTAGTTTGATTGTTCATTCCCATCCATTGGTGAGCTGGAAATATGTAAAATCGATAAACAATTCAATAATTTTTCCGTTTTCTCCATACGAATGACTATGATTACTTTGGAAGTTTTTCCCTTTCGCTAATGACAAAAATTTGAAAAGCTCTAGCATTGTTCTTTTATGATAATGTGACTGATTACTTGTGATACATTGCGTTATCCTACTAAGCCAAACCTTTGCTTTTTGAACACAAACTTCTTGATAATAACTGACATAGTTATTGATAATTTATGCTAATCAAATCCTCAGAACCCAACAAAAATTCTTATCTGAAGGTTCCTAAACACGTGAACACTTAACAAAAACGCGAGTCATTTCTATTGATATATTCCACGACACACTTCCTACTTTCCTTTAAAGGAACTTCATTTGCTCAATTAGTTTTTACAATCAGGGGTGTGTTTGTCTGTGATAAATACACATTCTAGTTAAACTTGTTATTACAAAAATATACATTGAAATGCCTATTCAAGGCTTGACATTTGGATTCATATCGCGACTCGTTAACAATGGCGTAACAGCCGGGTCCACGTGGCCTAAGGTGTGGAGGGTATGGAGGATGTCAATATTAGGAAAATTCACATATTCAATTTTCAGAAATGTGAAAAACTTCAGCCATTTCGAATTTATTACCAATGAAATCACTTCAGAGATTTGATGAAATGAACAATTTCAGTAAATTTAGGTTGTTTACCAAAAGTTTTGTCCGTATTAATGTCATATGTTTTTGTAGCTCAAGATCCCGATTAATACGTATTCTTTACGAATACAAATTGAACCAAAATGGTACCGAAACAGACCAGAAAATAACCAGCGATTTGGCAATGATAGTGGTAATGAATGCACATTTTCGCCGTTGATTTGCGAAATTTCGTTTCAGAGATTTTG